TGCGATACATTTATAAAAATTGCACAAAAATGTCGTCGTCATTTTGTAACTGTACAATTAGGTGAATCCCAAGCGTTTGTTGATGAAATATTAACTAATATAAATGGTATTATTTGTCATTTGGAACCACATCAAGTTCATACATTTTATGAAGCTGTTGGAAATATGATTGCAGCTAGTATTGATAATGTTCAACAAACAAGATTAATTGAAAAATATATGCAATTACCAAATGATGTTTGGAATACAATTATATCCGAAGCAAAAAAATCTGTCGAGTGTTTAAAAGATCCTGAAGTTGTTAGTAATATATTAAATATACTTAAAACAAATATACGAGCTTCAAAAGCATTAGGTGCACCATATGTGCATCAATTAACAAAAATTTATCAAGATATATTACATATATATAAAGTAACATCAGAAAATATCAATCAAGCTATACGTATGAATGGACCAATAGTTGTTAAACAACGTTTAATTAAATCAATGATTGCTGTTAAAGAAGATACATTAATATTACTTGGTAGTTATTTTTCAAAAGCAACAAATATTCAACAAATTCTTGATCAATTTTTAACACCATTATTTACATTTGTATTAATTGATTATCGTGATTGTCATCCAGAAGCTCGTGAATCTGAAGTATTAAATATGTTAGCAACATTAATTAATAAAGGTGAAGAACGTTTAACAAATCGTATACCAGAAATATTTGATTTAACATTTGAACATACACTTCATATGATTGATAAAAATTTTGAAGATTATCCTGATCATAGAAAAAATTTTTATACACTTCTTCAATCGGTAACAAATGTTTGCTTTTCAGGTATGTTATAAATTATTATTTTTGTTTTTGAATTTTTATATTTTATAAAATTTTTGAATTTTTGTTTTTTTCTGTAGCATTATTGGCATTAAATGCAACACAGTTTAAACTTGTTTATGATTCAATTATGTGGGCATTAAAACATACAATGCGTACAATATCAGAATTAGGCTTGGAAATTTTACAAATTATGTTAAGAAAATTTCAAACATGTGATCCACAAGCAGCACAAACATTTTATCAAATTTATTATCTTGAAACAATGCAACATATTTTTGCTGTTGTTGCCGAATGCTCACATACATCAGGTATGCATAGCTATAGAAAATGAGATCTGAAGAGCCAAGTTTTATTGGTTCCGATTCTAGCGATTTTAGTTTTTTAGGTACCCCAATTCTGGTGGCTTTAGTTTTTCGGGTCTGAAAACTATTTCAGAATTTATTCATAACATATCTAAAAAAAATCTTTAATACTCGTTTTTTGATTTACTTAATCGATGACTAGTACTCTTTAGGTCATCGCTCTGCAATTATGTTTTAATTGATGATTAGTAAAATAATTCAGTTAAAACCATAGAAAATGTAATTATCGTCTTTAGTTTCAGCTGACATGACTTTTTTCTCGAAGTTCCGATTAGGGATGTCAGGATTTCGTTCTTAAGGAACGGGAACTCATTTGAGAATTCGTTTCCGAGCATCCGGAGATGTTTACATATACCGATTCTTTCATTACGTAGCAAGTCACCATGAGTTCTCGTATTTAGAAATCCGTAACCCACAGTAGGTGCCCGTTCCTAGAAATCCTGAGCCCGAGTGTGGATTTCCGTTTTTAAGAATCGGGAATTAGGGATGACACTTTGACTGTTAAAATACTTTAATAAAGTAGTTAAAGTTAAAGTAGAGATTTTTTCACTAAAGAAGAGGTTTTTTAAGAAAAAGGTGTGTTTTTTTTATAAAGTTTGATTACAGGTAATCGGGATCGAGCGATTCGAATCTGGAATCCATTTCTCCAAATTTTGAGTTTGAGTTTTTTTCAAAAAAGTGATCTTTTCATCAGAAAATTTTTTTTTTGTAAAAAAAATTATTTTGTTTTAAAAATAAACTTTTTTGCGAAGAAATCAAACTCAAACTTTGGAAAAACCGATCAGAGATTCGAATTCTTCAATCCAAATCACCTTTGGTCAAACTTTATAAAAAAAGTCACTTTTTTCTTAAAAAAGCTCTTCTTTAGTAAAACAATCACTACTTTAGCTTTAAATATTTTATTAAAGTATTTTTACGGTCAAAGTGTCACTCCTAGTCCCGATTCCGGTCTCAGCAACTTCTTTTTCTCGTGGTCCCGGTACTAAAATTAATCTCTCACTTATTACAATAGTCAAAATCTTTTTATGGAAGATACTAATTAATAATGTGTAGTAACTCGCGAATCAGGAACACGTGTTATCAATGTAATTAGTATAATTATATTTTATATTTTAATAGCAGACGAAATCTACTAATAATTTTTCTCTAGTATGATCAATTATTTATAATCTAAAGATCAAAACAAATTATGAATTAAATCAAAACGAGAAAGTATTGTTTGAAGTTTTTTTGGGGCAAAGATGCAATAGATTGTAGATCGATTCGTTTTGATTTTCTTTACTATCTTTTTCAAAGTAGAAAATATATTCCTATTGTTGTGAATAACACTTACTCGAAAATCTATATATACTATCATTTACTAAAACATATATTGATCCTCTTTGTATTGATTTATGAGTTTGAAAGTCTCACTATTCTCTATATAGTAAGCGACCGAGAAATTTCTATGAATAGATTGCTAAGCTAAGAATTCTATAATTACTTTTCAAATTACATATTATTAATTTTGATGAAAGAAATAATCCTTTTGGTTTTCTTTTTTTAGGTTTAACAGCACATTCTCAAATTTTAGCCAATTTATTTGTCATTGTTGAACAAGGTCTCATTAAAGTACCATTAGCACCTGAAGTTCAAGATCCATCACAAAATTTACTTTATGTTCAACAATTTATGGCTAATTTATTAAAAACAGCTTTTCCACATTTACAAGATAATCAAATAAAAGTTATCATTGAAGGTTTTGTTACATTAGATCAAGATATAGCTGGTTTTAAAGAACATTTACGTGATTTTCTTGTTCAAATACGAGAAGCTACTGGTAATGATACGGCTGATTTATATTTAGAAGACCGTGAACAAACATTAAAACGTGCAGCTGAAGAAAAACGTAAAATACAAATGAGTGTTCCCGGTATGTAGAAATTTTCAAAGAAAAAAATAAATAACCAACCAAAAATTCTATTTTAGGTATTCTCAATCCTCATGAAATTCCAGAAGACATGCAAGATTAAACGAACTATATATTACTAATACGCATGCTTGTCTTTTGTTTGTACGTTCTTTTTGAATGAAAAACAAGAAAAAATATAGTAAACTCAAAAAACAAAAAAAAAAAAATCATTTGTCTATATACTTTTTTTTTTCTATTCATCTTGTCGATCTCATCGGAAAAGAAAGAATTTCTTTTTTTTTTGACTTAATTGAAATCTTTTCGGTTGTCAATAACATTTTATTTCTATTAAATATTTGATGAGATAAAAGAGACTTGACAGAATTGTGTTGATTGTATATGCTTGATATGTATTCATATTAGTGATTGAAACAAAATGGAAATATATGATGAGAAAAGTTTTGATACTGATTTAGATGATGATGAAACAGGTATTTGTATAGTTTTATTTGTTTTATAAAAGGAAATATAATTATTCTAAAGATCAAACTGATGATTATATACTTCCACGTTTATCATTTGATGAAAAACTAACAGCACATCGAAATAATCGTTTGAATGAAACATTTGGTCAAAAAAATTTTCCATTTCAATTTCAATCTAATAAACAAATTCGAATAAATAATAATACTCTCGTACCTTTACGATGTAAAATTCCATATAACAATAGTAACTATGATGAAATCTTCAAATAAATTAATATGAATTTTCCTTTTTTTTTGTAATAGGAAGAATTCATATATATGAAAATAGTTGCCATATGCTTGATATAGCAATTGATTGGCAATTACGTAGTCTTCTTTTTCATGATCATATAACTGTTATCGATCGATCATTTAGTTTAAATGAAATACGTGCATTTGCAACTGCCATTGAAGCAAATCTTGAAAGTTTAACATTAAGTTCTGTTGGTTTAACAACACGTTCAATACATATACTTTGTCAAGGATTAAAAAAATGTATTCATCTTAATTTATTAGTAAATAGAAAAAAAATAAGACAAGATTGTAACAAGAAAAAAATGTGATATTTTTATTTTTTTTTAGGATTTATCATGTAATAAATTAAGTAAAGAAAGTTTTCAACTATTAGTTAATACAATTAATCGATTTTCATCATTACATTATTTATCATTGGCTAATTGTGGTATTCAAGATTCATATGGTCGATCTATTGGTGATTTATGTCGACATAGAAGATTGATTGAAATAGATTTAAGTGGAAATGAATTTGAAGATATGGCATGTATATTGATTGGTGGTGCATTAAGTATATACAGAATTAGTTGTGTTTTCTTTTTAGAATAATAAATTTTGTTGTACTTTAGCGGAAAATATTTGTTTGATAGATTTAAATTTAAGTTGGAATTTCATTCGAAGTTATGCATCAATAGCTTTATTTCGAGGATGTGAAGTAATCAATTTAATTTTTTCTTTGTTAATAAAATTTTAATTTCGTTTTTTTAAAGGTTAATAAAACTTTAAAAGAATTTGATATATCATGGAGTAATCTTGGTTATGATGGAAGTGTTGCACTTCGTCGTGTATTAATTATTAATCAATTTTTACAACGTTTAAATATAAGTAATTGTAATATTGATCGAACAAGTGCAAAATTAATTAGTGAAGGTTTAGAAAAAAATTCAATACTTCAAAAAATCGATGTTAGATGAAAATTTTTTATTCAAAAATCAAATCATTTTTTCACTTATATTTTAGTTATCATTTAATCCATTAACAACTTATGGTGTGCATGATATTGTTCAAGCTTTGAATCATAAGAAAAGTGCTGTTTCAATACTTGATATTTCAGTAGGATTAATAATTTATTTAATTTTTATTTTAATTAATTTTATATGTGTTTCTATGGTATGACGGTATTTTCTGGAACTGTTCGTCTTGCAGAAAAAATTGCTGATCGAAGACATTTTATTATGAAATATGATTTTGAAATATCTGTACATGATATTATTGGTCGACCAAAGGGTATAAACAAGATACATATATATTGAATAGGACTAGTCTTTCTCAGACAAGATACATTAAGTGAAAGATCTGTCGCAGTATTCGATCGCCAGAGAAACCATCTGTCTTATTTACTTCTATATTTCAAACAGAAATTGTTTCTATGTTTTCTTTACTTTGTCGTTATTACTTCGTTTCTGTTCATTTTTCTTAATTAAACACTACTATTATTCTAACTATTGACTTAACGAACAAATAAGCCTGTTGTATAATTAACAAGAATATTTTAACTCATTTTTGTTTTATCTACTTTTATGATATTTAGTAACAAAAACAGATTCAATGCGTAAAATTATTGATCATATTGATGCAAGACAGTGGCGTACATTAGATTATTTTCGAATATTGAACAATCAAAAGAAATCACAAGTACAAAATGAAACAATTCGTCATAAGATTTTAGTAAGAATCTTTTCTTTATAGCAATATTTTATTTTCATTTTCATTTTAAATATTATTAGAAATCTGAGGTAGAATCTGGAACTGTTGCAATAGAAACACTTCAACGATATCTTACCGATCGAATAGTTCAACCTTTTACATATAAGTACGAAGATTTTTTTTTCTATCGAGAGATTAACAATTTTTTTTTCTAGAAATTTACATAATGTAATTAAACAACAACGAGTACGTGATCGATTACAAAAAGGTCGCCAGGAACAACAAGAAAAAGATCTGAAAAATCGAAATAAAAAAATTTTACAAACTGTTAATGAATATTTTCCAGATATTAATATTATTAGTAAACAAGAAAAACATAGAGCAACTATTGAACATTTAGCGAAACCTCGAATATTTAATACAAATGAAAAAATCTAATTTATTCAATTTAGATGAACTGTATTTTGAAATTTTAATAATTGATAAACAACGTTTCTTGTAATGAATTGTAATAATTCATAATTCATTTATTAAATATTGTGTATTGCTTCGATGACAACGAAATTTTCTTCCAGATTTAACATGATGAATGTCTGGGTTAAATGATCCTATTCTCGTTTTCAAAAGCCAAGGAACTTGGTTGTTTTTTGAATAATTTTTAATAGAAATAACATAGAGACTTGGGACTGTCGCCACTCAAAAGAAAACATTCTAGGCTATCTGTGCATGTCGAATTGACTTGAAATATGACCATTCGGTAGAAAAAAATTCTTCCTTTTCGATCTACGAAAGCTTCAACTATCTTGGACGATCCGTTCTCGAGTTACAAGAGTTTCTCCGAAAACCCCCTGTAACGGCACTGTGTGTCGTTACCTGTATATTATCATCTGCTCATTTTCTATTTGTTTTTTTTTCGTGCTCTATTCTTCTTTTTTCTCTCTCTCTTGTTCTATTGTTTTTCGCGCGTTTGACTAGATTGTTCTTTGTTGTCATTCTTCTTCTCATGATATAAAAAGGAGAGATTTTTTTCATTGATCGATATTGTTTTGCTGGTATTGAGTTTGCCTACATCTTAACATCTCATCCCCATTGATTTCAGCAAGTTGATTTTAGAAGACTCGAAAAGTGCTCAAGATAGGGATAATTCATCATATTGAGTCACTCGTGATTCGTTCTATCTACCGATACGTCGATTTACGTCTTTTTCTTTTCCTTCGTATATACATATATCTTTATCGTGCGCTCAGTGCGTGGTCGAGAAAATTAATTAATTACATTGATTTTCTCTTTATACTGAATTATAAACCATTGATAATGACTTCTCATTCAGTTTCTAATCTCAACAATGATGATGAACATCGCTTACAAGCATCAAATGATCATGTTATAGTTTCCGAACTAGATAAAATGTTATCGTCTAATTCAAATAATGTTTTGGATTCTCATTTGGATCACAACCTTAACGAACATGTTAATTCGAATAAAAAATGATGGAAATAATGCTATTACACCACGATCGTCGTCCATTCTCAGCCGACGAATCAGATGATGGTTTTCGTATTGTGAAGAACAAGAAAAAACAAAAACAAATTGTGCGTGATGACCCTGAAGCATTAAATAATGGTGAAGAATCTCGTGTTAATCCAATTGTACCTAATCTTGATGATATGGAACTTGATCAAAATCAAATACATGCTGTTAATGATAATCAACATCATTTATCTTCTTATAATTTCGTTATTACTAATGAATCAACACGTTTTGCTCAAACACGGTATCCGTTTTCACCATTTTTCTTACGTTTTGGTTCAGGAAAAGTAACAAGTGATCAAGTTAAAGAAAATTTAATTCATCATTCTAAAAAATTTCATCAATTTGATGTTCATGTGATTAACTGTCGTTCATCTTCTAATGTTCTCTCAGCTAATGAATATGATATTCTTATATATGTAAAAGATGCTGTTTCTTTTTCTTTTTTATTAGAACAAGCTCATTGACGAAAGGTTCTAGGTAACAATTATCATTATTTTCCTTCAGCTCCAGCTATTCCACCACAACTCTGTTTATTAATTAAAAATGTTGATTTACGTATTGATTTTGATGAATTCTGTAATGATATTAAAACTAACCATCCTCACGTTAAAAATATAATTCGAATGAAAAACAAGTTTCAGAATGACATCAAGATGGTTAAACTTGAATTAACTTCTTCCTCTTCCATAGATGAATTATTAAAAAAAAAAAGAATTATTGTTAATTATATTTCTTATGATATTATTGAATATTTAGCCCCTGCTAAGGTGCTTATATGTTCTAAGTGCATGGCGTTAGGGCATTTTAAAAAACAATGCACTCAGGTTAAAGAAACATGTTGTACATGCGGTGAACAAGTTGATGATATGAAAAATCATATTTGTTCTAAAATTGAAAAATGTGTCCACTGTGATCAAAATCATAAATCTAGTTCTCTCAAGTGTTCGGTGGTCAAATCTTTTCGTACTGAATTAACTCGTAAAATTCTTCCACTAAATAATCATTCAACACCTGATACGAACTTAATGAATAAAAATATTATCTTTAATTTAACTAATTTTCCACCTCCTCCACCACCTAAATCTTCAACATTATCAATTAATCCTATGATGGTTAAGCTGGATCAGTTAATTAATAAATTATCAGAAATAAAGAATCATCTTGCTAATCTAGAAGCTAAACATGATAAATTTGAACAATTCATATTGGAAAAAAATTGTAATGATGAAATTGTCACTAAAAAAATTAATGATATATTTAATAACCATATGGATTTAAAGAAAAATGTTGTACAACAAAGTTTATATATTGATAGACATGAAAATTTATTTTGTAAATTGTTAATTCCTATGTTTGAAGATTTATTTTCATTTATTGTGGCACAAAATTATGACAAGATGGGTAATCCCCTTGATGTGGATCTTAAATGTAAACTTAATCGTTATTTGGTTCAAATGAAAAAAGCAATTGAAGGTAAATAATTTACAAGCTAAGGACTCTGTCGCCTGTTGCTCAACCTTTTTTTTCTTCTTCTAAACTATGTGAGCGTAGTGATTTTTTAGTTAAAGCTAAAGCTTCATTATCTTCATTTGACTTTAATCTTTTCTTAGAGATTCTGAGTGAGTGGGAAAGTAGTCTATTTCTTGATTCTTGTTTTTCTTTGTGGCAGAAGTATGTTCCTTTAGATGACATTTCTTTTCATTCTTCGCTTCATGTTCTTTCATTCAATGTTGGGGGGCTTGAGTTAAGATGACAAGAAGTCCTTCTTCTTACATCTTCTTTCAATTTCGATATTCTTATTCTTCTCGAAACTGGCAATATTGAACTTTCTTTCTTTGAGAAAATCTTCAATAACTTTAGAATTTTTTACCAAAAGGGAGAGAATAAAAATGGTGGAGTTTTAGTCCTGATGAAATTAGATATTCAAGTAACGCGTATAGAATGTGAATTATCTAATGTTTGTGTTTTAGATATTAAAGGTGAAGAAATCTTACGTATTGTTGGAGTATATGCATCTGAAAGTAAATCCTGAACGTGGGAGGATTTGTTTCCTTTTTTATCTAAGAAATGCGTTGTGTTTGGAGATTTTAATGTTGATATAGGTCAAGATGCTAAAAAAGCAGAGATCTTCCTTACGTGGGCAGATGCTAATTTTCTTGCTCCATTTGCACCTGAATTGTCTACTTCTTTGCGTTCGAATAGAATAATTGATTATGCTTTAGCTGCTGATTTAAGTATCGATATTCATAATCATAGTGGTAATACAACCAGTGACCATACATCCCTCATATCTGTTATTCCAACAAAGTTAAAAAATTAAAAAGTAGGAAGAAATGTTCATTGGAAAGTTTTCTCTCTCTTTACAGAATATACTTTTTCTTTCTGGGAAGAAATGTGGAACCTCGATAATATTGATGTTGTTTACATTGATTATAGCAGATTCCTGTTTCTTTTATCTGTTCGATGTACAATTGTTTTTCCTTTAGAAAAATATCGTCCATTCATTCCTGTAGAACTTAAATCGTTTTTGTCTTATATACGTGCTCTTTCTTTTCGTCAAATGAGAACAAAAAACATTGAACTAAAGAATATGTTATATTCCTTGAGGAGAGCAGCCAAAAGTGAACTTAAGAGGTTTTTTCTTCTCAAGTTTCTTCAACACTTAATCTTCGTAACACTTCTTCACCTGCAGCGGTCTTGTTTTGGTCCAAATGTAAAAAATATCTTAAACCTTTGTCCTATACTGTACATGCTTTTATTGCACCATCAGGACATATTATTAAAGACACTGAAGAAGTGTGCGAAGTTGCTGCTGATTTCTATGAAAATTTTAAAAAAAAATCTAATATAGTGAAACCTCATCCATACACTGATTCTTCATCTATTGAATATGACAATTTCGATGAACCTATTCCTGAAGTAACATTAGATGAATTAGTATTCACAGTGCAAGCAAAACGTAAAAAGAAATGTCTTGATACTCATGGCATATCGAACTTCATGTTTAATTTTCTGGATGAATGTCATTGGTCTTTATTTCTTAAACTATTTAATCATTCTTTCCAAACGGCTATTCTGCCTAAGCCATGGAAAGATACTAGAATGGTTTTATTAGCCAAAAAAGAGTCTATCTGTTCTCCTTCATTAACTCGTCCTATTTCTCTTATTGACTCGTTTCTTAAAGTTGGTGAAAGGTTATTTCTTTCTAGATTTCGTGATGTTTTAGCTAGAAGAGGTTTATTATCCGATAATCAGTCGGGTTTCAGAGACGGTTTTCGTCTCCAAACTCGTTTATTGTTAATTCTGGAGAATATATATATAGTCTTATGGCAAATAGTGCCCCTGTATGTACCATCTTTATTGATTTTCGTTCTACCTTCGATCAATTATGGCATGAGGGCTGCGTGGGCAAACTAATGAGATTAGGTATTCCTCCGACTTATTTAAGATGGATAGAAGCTTGACTTCTTGATAGAAGGTGCTTTATTGAGATAAATAGTGATAAACCCAGGTGGTTTTCAATTGGAAAAGGGGGTCCTCAGGGTAGTGTGTTAACTTCCACTTTATTCGTTAGTTATCATTGCGATATGGGACAATTTCTTTTTCAATGTACTAGTCATTTTTTTGCTGACGACGTCGCAGCTATGCTTGCAGGGCAATTAGGAGTACGATACACTAATCAATGTACTGATCTTGAAAAGCGTATTAAATCTTTTCTTGATTCACTTGAATATTATTCTTGTTTAGCTGATCAGCCCTTAAATAGAACCAAAACTGAAGCTATGTTTAGTGCTCGTGCAATAGGATCCCCAGGCTTCAACATTACATTTGATAGTGGGGATGATAAATGTATTCATTGGAAACAGGAGTACAAATATCTTGGCTATATCATCTCATCTAGACATGGATGGGGGAAGTTACTAAAGTATACAGAATGTAAAGTCAGGATGAGAATAGCACTTATTAAATTGTTTAAATTGTTTGGTTGTTCGTCTCCTAGTCTTCGTAAATCTCTGTTCTATTCACATGCCCTTCCATTATTCACCTGGTTATATCCTGTATATCCGCTATTTACGCGAAAACAACAGGAAGACCTCTCTAGGTTTTATTACTCCTCCCTCCGTCGTACTCTATGTTGCCTCGAATGGAATGAAAATTTTTTTTCATATATTCTTGAAGAAATATCCTTGGAAGATCATTGCTCTATATATATTGGAATAGGTATCTCAGAGCGTTATCTAATTCGATTGATGGTAATTTAATTTTTGAAAAAGCTAACCTTGCTGAATTTAGGAAGAGTTGGTTGGGTAAGGAGTTCTCCATCATGGGGTTGAGAAGATCTAAAAGATTCGTCCCTTACAAATCAATTTTAGAAAAAGTTTTAACTTGGCTTTCGTCGGTTCCTTCTAACTCTTCTATACCACATTATGAAAGGTCTGAAATTGAGCTACTTCAACTCTTTCCTGATTCTTTTTGTTAAAGCTGTGATCTGTGTCTTTTTTTGTCCGTGTTAACTGTTGTTTAAATGTTGTTCATGTGCAGTCTGTTCTGTACATGTGTCCGATTCTTTTTTCTTTTGTTTATTTTCTACTTTGTACTCTGTATTCATCTTGGATGTGGTTTTCTCATCATTATTTTTTGTTTCCTCTGCATTGTTACATGTAGAATCTTTGTTTCTTTTTGTATCTTCTGTGTACCTTTTATTTCACTTTTTTATTTTTATTTTTTTTCTCTCTTTTCTCATTTCTGGTGCTGTTAGGGTCTTAGGATCGCAGTTATTGCATAATGAAAAAAAAATTCATCATATTGAGTTGAATGGTAATATTTATTTCCAGTTTCAAAGCGACCGAAGAACATTTTTTCAAGATTTTTAAAATTTTGGTTATTATGCTGTGAAGGGAAAGTTTTTGAAGTTGCTTTGAAACTGAAAAGAAACATCCCCGTTCGACTCAGCACGATAAATTGTTCCTGTTTTTAGTTCTTTTGAAGTCTTCCAAGGTTAGTTTACTGAAATCGAGAGTCACGAGAAAACTCTTGTAACTCTGGCTAGAAAGTGGGGGCTTATGTAGATCGAAAAGGAAGAACTTATTTCTATCGATTGGTCATACTCCAAGTCAAAATCTAGCAGGAAATGACTTCAGAATATCTTTTTCAAAACAGAACTCACCCAATTGGTGGTGAGTTGTTGACTAAATGGACTTCGGTATATGTAGATAGCCCAAGGTGGTGTGGGTGCCATTTAAATGCCTTCTTGTCTAACATCCACACCCACAGTAACTTTCGTCGATATTTATTTCACCGCACATCAAACAAGATATATAGTTCTTGCGGTAAAAACAAATGATTAAAAACAAAAGGTCCCTATGCTCTCATCGTGTTCTCTTTTGTTAGTCGTATTTCTTGGAAATAGAGCAATGATGCAAAATATCTTTTCTTCTCAATTGGTAGCTTAGGGAATTCTCTACACACAATGTTTCTAAAGATGACAATTCCAGTTGCCAGTGGGAAGTAAAGGATTAAAATTATGATTTTCAATAAGAAATCATTTAAAGATTTTATGTTGTGTTAACTCATAGTCAATATCATCAAAAACGAAACAAACATAACATATTGCAAACAGTGAAATTTTTCTTTTCACACGTCTGTTACATCGATATTATTTTATTCTATATCTTTCTTTTTATGATGTCATGTTTATTTTATTGTTGGTAATGCTGACAATGTGTTGATAAAAGGGTAAATTTTTATTTTATCTTTAATTTTAATCATTTCTACATATTAATCAATAATCTATAAATAATTGTTATTTGTCTAGATGATCGTGCAAACCATATCACAGATATTGCCTTTATGTCTTCTTTTGTTTTATATATATGTGTTTAAATATGCATATCAAACAAAAACGAATAATTATCTGTGTATATAACCCAGAAGTCCAAAGACATTTTAACTGTAGTTGCCTTTTTTTTAAAGAGTGCAGGTAACAAGTGAGTATGGTAAGGTAAAGATAACAGATATCAGAACAAAATATTATTATTTATTCTAAGTTGAATTCAAACATTTATGGTCATTAATGAAATAAAAATTTTATTTTTTTTTTTTTCTAGTATATTTTAAGATCATCATCATGGCTTTTACACCGTATCAATTGTTTCTTGCGGGTCTTATGTTAATAACTGGAACAATAAATACTTTATCAACAAAATGGGCTGATAGGTATTTATTAATTTATTTCATTCATAATGTCATATTTATGTTATTTAGACAAGACGCACATTTTTGTAATCGAACAGCTGAACCAAAAAAATTTGAGCATCCATTCCTTCAAGTTAGTAAAATTTTTTTTGTCAAAAATTAATAGGTTTCTTTTTTATTTAGGCTCTGGGCATGTTTATAGGTGAATTTCTATGTTTATTGGTATTTAAATTTATTTGGTACTCAACAGCTCATTATCGTATTGCTCAAATGACATATAAAGGCGATTCATCATCTACGGTTGTTCAATATTGGCCAATACAAATTAAGAAAGATATACATTTACTTGAAGGTGAACAAGTATTTAATCCATTTATATTTTGGGTAGCATCTATATTTGATATGCTTTCAACATGTTTATCTTATTTTGCATTAAATTTAACGACTGCTAGTTCATTTCAAATGTTAAGAGGTTCAGTAATGGTTTTTACAGCTATATTCAGGTAGAAATATATATATATATAAATTGAAATGAAAGATTTTTTAAAAAATTTTTTTAGTATACTATTTCTTAAAAGACGATTAACTCTTATTCATTGGATTGGTATTATAACTGTTGTAGCTGGTTTAGTTGTTGTTGGTGTATCAGATCTTTTGTTTAATAAAGAATCAGAAGGTAATCATACAGGTGCTCAAAAATTTCTAGGAATTATTCTCATACTTCTGGCAATGGTATTTACCAGTTTACAAGTATGACAGAAAAACAAAATAGAAAAATTACATCTATTATATATTATTGTATTTAGGTCGTATATGAAGAACGTTTTATTGGTAAATATAATATTCCACCATTACAAGCTGTTGGTTGGGAAGGAATATTTGGTTTTTGTACACTTGGTGTTCTTATTATCCCGGTAATAAATTTGACAAAAAAAATTTTTTTTCTAGAATATAATTTGTTTTTTTTTTTTAATTAGTTTCATTTTATTCATATGAGTTCATCAAATACTGGTCCTGATTATCGTCTTGAAGATATACCATCAGCATTTTGTCAAATGGGTGATAATTATAGAATTATTATTGCCACAGTTGGTAAGAATAAACTTTCATGTATTTTATTTTATTACTTGTTCTTTCTTTAGGAAATATTCTTTCAATTGCATTTTTTAATTTTGCTGGTATATCTGTAACAAAAGAGTTATCATCAACAACTCGTATGGTACTTGATAGTGGTCGAACATTACTTATATGGGCTATTTCATTAGCATTGTCATGGCAAAAATTTTATCCATTACAAATTGGAGGTTTTATTCTTTTAGTTATTGGTAAATTGAAAAATTTTTGTTTTTTTTTTATGTTTATTTATTAAAATATGTAATGATTGAAATAGGTATGGGTATTTATAATGGTGTATGGTTACATTTATATCGTCAATTTGAAGCTTTTAGAAGAGGATCAGGAGGCGAGCGTGCACCCTTATTACCTAGTTATGATGAGGCCAATGGATTTACACCAGGCATATCAGATGTTCCATCGGCTGCAGGAGTCTATGTTGCACCAGGCAAAGATGCAATTAATGGATAAACTATTTACTTTTCTTTTTGTTTTTTAAATGTGTATAGCAATTGTAATAATAATTATTGAAGTTTTTTTTTAATTAGAAAGGAAAAAAACAATTGTTGAGTGCGCACATTTTAGAAAGTAAAATTTATTTTTTTATGTTTGCTGTTATCAAAAGAAAAACAGTGAAAGAAATAGAAAATAAAATACGAGAAAAAATATTGTTTATAAACGAATATATATTGCAAACACGTTTTATCTTGCCTACACATAGAGAAAATATATATAGCTTTCTAATTATATATCATTTGATTGAATCTTATCTTTTGTATGAATATGAATCAATTATTTAATTTCTTGAGGACAGGCGATGTATATATATATATGTTCGGTTTCGAATCATATAGACCCTCAATCTGTTACACGATTATCCATATTGTTATAGATATGTCATTTGTTTCTAAAATAAAACTTGTTGAGAGCAAGTTTACTTGCTCTTATTAAAACAAATTACATAGTGTTGTTTCAAGAACTGTCAGTTTTATTTTCTTTTGTTCGTCCGAACTGTTTTATTTCTTTAATTGAAGTATATTTCATTTTTTTTAAAACACAATTAAAATTGTGTTACTTGAGCTAAACTAATATCATATATATTTTGGTAAAGATCAAATTGATGTTTGGATCGTCGTTCGAAGAGAAATCTTAGATTTGTCTGAAAAGGCTGATCGTATTTAGCGATCAATCGATGAGTAAGTGACTTTTTATAGCACTACATTTAGAAATATTATACATTCATCTTTGGGAAACCTAACAGATATAAACGATCATAACATGATATTTCTTTCTTGAGACTTGTAAAAATATGAGTGCAAAAAGGAAAATAGATGTTTTTTTGAAGCCATTCTCATTCATAGATTAATAATGATCCAAGAAACTGTTCAGTTTTTGCCTGTCTAAAAGATTTTTTGAACTGACCAGGTCGGACCAGTTCAAAAATTCTCGACCGGTTACAACTCTAGTGTCAATATAGGTGTGATCGAAGAGAAGACTTACACCTACACTCTTAAAATGATCATACTTTGAAATACTTTTAGAAATATTTTGACATCAATATGAATAAATATATCTCATCAGAATTTCGAAAATTTCCTGTGTTCTCTTAAATGTAACTGCGTCCTGAAACAGTTAATATTATTCTTATTTCTGTTATACATTTTGTCATATGGATCAAGATCAAATATTCAAATGCGAATAATCAATTATTTTTGTTAGTAATACCATGTAATGCCAATTATATTAATTTTTGTTCAAGCACTGGAAGTAAATAATAGATTTGACTTTTGAACAAAAACCTAAAATAATAACCAATAGAATTTTTCCTTATTAGTACCAGTCGGTAAATACGTGTACTAACTCATGTCTTACTTTTCTCATTATATAACAATCAAAAACCTACTATTTGAATAAACATATCATTAAATTGTTGATCAAAACATATTTTTCCATACTATGACACTTTTCACTATTTATTTCTGTGCTTTTTTTTTATTTACACTACTAATGTGAAAACCTAAAATTGTTGAAATCTGTTTTTATGGTAGTTCCTGATGTTTGAAATCATTAGCGCAGAAAATAGAAACATAAACCGTCGATTACAGAAACGAAGATGACACTATCAGGCAATTGTTAAGACATAATGAGAGTATGGGTGCGTTCTTTGCATTCTCTCCTACTCACATTCACATTCCCAAAAAAAATAGATAGGAAACATGCATGATTCAAGTTAGTTTGTTCATTAAGGTTCTTCCTGTTATTCAACTTTACTGTTTGTAAAAAAAAACATTTTTTTCTTTTTATGAATATAAATTCTTTAGATAAAATAAATATAATGAATCTTTTATCTTCAACTAAATAATAATTTGTATCGTTTTGACGTTTGAATAAATCGGCATGTTTCTTTTCAACCAAAGTAGGATTTATCATTGTTTTTTTTTTGTCTATCTAATTATCTATTAGTAGATGAAAACATTCGTACATTTGCAAATCCAATACGTGAATTCTGTATAATAACTAAACTTGCCTTTAATATGATCATTAATAACGGATATTTATTCGCTATACGACAATTACTCTGTTTTTGTTATTTTTTTACTGATGTACAACAGATAAATTATGATTTTAAACAATTTTTTGTTGTTATTTTCATAGAATAATTTCATATAGAAGTGAATCTATAGAATATATTAAGCATAATATGTCAAATTTAATTAAATAGAATAATCTGACGCATTTTTTTTTCTCAAGGGAATAAACTTCAACATCACTTAAAAATATTTAATTTACAGAAATATTTTTGGATTCATTTTTTTTTTTGAGACAAAAATTCAGAGAAAAGATGCAGGCCGACAAGTAAAGAATCTTATTGATGATGTACAACTGCACTTGTTAAAAAACATAAAGTCTCGAATACTAAATAGTATGTGTTATTCATTAGACAAAATTTATTTAGAACAGATCGTATTAAAAACAAAACACATGAAGACACAGATATTTATGGACACAAAAATTAACGAGAGAATCACACTAATTTATTCCAAGCTTCTGACTTTATCTTTTGACTCGAAGTAGATCTCAATGAGACTAATAAAACTCTAAAAGTGTTCGTACTTATAGCTCTTCATTTCCGAGATATAGTCTCAGTTAGTGATTATATAATCAGCTCGAATAATGATTTATTTTGTTGTGGTAATTTTAGATTCATGATTCTTCTAACACTTAGAATATCAAGTTATAATTGCATAAGATTCAGTGATCTGTGATATTTCATGAAAAGAGAGACAAATAGAATATAGAAGAAGGATCGCTGATATTTTTTGATCATGTGTGTATCTGTCATGCCCTTGTCAGAGAGTACTACTTAACATCTATTATAATATATTATATGTGCGTCAAGTGTTTCTCTGATCAGGAAATGACTAATATGTAGTCAAAACGTATGGATGATCGTTCTTCTAGTTTTTATTTGTCACTCTTTCGTTATGATATCACTAGTCACTAAGTCCGATACAATTATTATTTGATATTGTTAGTGTTAGTAGAACTATGAATTTAAAATTACCACAACAAATAAGCTAGCTACATAAATATTAATTTAGACCTATTGAAATAACAAAAAAAAATGTACGTTTCAAAAATGAAAAAAAAATTCCTTTTTATTTACGACATTACTTAGATCATATCTCGACAATGAAGACCCATAAAAACTAACATTTCCAAGCTTATCTTAGTCTCCCTGAGATCTACTTATACCCAAAAGATGAAGTCAAAAATTCAAAACTAGTTGAGATGGTTTCCTCGTAAAATTTATTTTTGTATTAGTCACTATACTTGAAGCATTGAAAGTATATTGATCTTTCTCCAATCGCTACTATGAAATTTTAACATGGATTGCCAAAAGACAATTTTTTCTTTTTTTTTCATGTTGTCGATAAAATTTCAAACATTTCGATGCCATTTTATGATTCCGTTTGTTGAATCTGTTACTTCATTCTTATAAAACAACAATTTAATGAATGACATGAATAGGATCATATTTTCTTAAGTTTGTCTTTCGAGGCTACTTTCATACAATTCCAACTATATATCATTTCATTAATATGATTAATTTTAGTTGTAATTAAATATGTTAAAACTTCATGTAAGTTTTTCAATAAGTTGTTTATTGAAAAATATATTTATGAATTGATTAATTAGTATGAATATACAACTAAATTTTCTGATGATTATTATAAACAAATAATCCAAGTAATTAGTATTTATTCAAAACTATCAAGAGAATTCATTTATTCTTATATTATAAGTAAAATTGAGTTTTAATTTTAGATATTGGTAATAAAAATAAATTCTATTGATGGCTTCAAACGTTATTTTTCATATAGGTTTGAATTTTTTACTAACATTAAGTAAATTAAATTGTTTTGTTTTTCTTTAGTTTCTTTTGTAATTAGACGATTCAATAGTTGATTTTATTTTAGCATCACTACTAATATCTAATATACATTGATTATGTTAATCTTTGTTATTCTAAATAAAATTTATGATTTGAAGATTGCTTGTCAAAAACTTTTTTCTCTGTTGTCGCTCGGAATTTAATGTAAAAGATGTGAAGGACAAAAAGAAAAAGGTCATCGGCTGCTGTCATTTATACAACAGGAAAAAGATTGACATTTTCAGACAGAATAATTTTTATAGCTTGAATAATTATCCTTCAATCTAAATTTTTGATGTCATTATCAAAAGAATGAACTGAAAACAATCTTATCAAACAAATCAGATTATTTTTCGTTATATTCTTTCTGTAGCTTAGCATTTACGACGATTAATCTTCAATTCTAATTTTTCCTTTTTTTTCTCTCGTATAAATATTCTTATAAATAAATTCTCAAAAATAGTAATTGCCTTATTGCAATTAATTATGACTTGACTAGTTATCGATTTCTTGACCAAATGAAGACTAATTTCACAATATACTGTCGCATCCCAATGCGTTAATTATTAGATTAGTTTTTTTCTTCTAATAATCATTATAGACAACCGGAAATGAAAATGCACAAGTGAAAAAAAAAGTGCTTTGTAATCAATTGAGTTTATAATATGAGCATAGAAACAATATAACTTCAGAGTATAAAATAGAAAAAGATGTTAATGAGTGAAACTCTACCGATACTTTCTCATCTGCCTATCTTTAAATCATCTAATGACTAAAAATAGAAAAGAAAAAGAACGTAAGAGCATAAAGAAAATAGAAAAAGAAATGTCGTGTCATTCCCTCTAATTGAGCCATCGGAGTATGTTGTATTCTGCTTATTTGATTCAAGAATCTCTTCCTGGATGAATAGCTACTCATACATGTTTTTTTCATAATAAAGCACAAATGCTGTTCTCTTGTTTACGCTGACAATGATTTTTATCTTGTTCAATAATGAAATATTGTCAAACAAATAACAATGAAATTTGTTCCAGTAATTTATTTATGCAAACTTATATTTTTTGTGAAGTAATGAATTTATATTTTATTATTTTTAAACTGATAACTATTAGTTTTAGATTAATTCTATGTGAGATGAATGTTACCATGAACATAATTATTCCGACCATAATCATTCGTCCTTATCCAAATTTACCATTAACAGAGCAAGTTATGTATGATTTAAAAAATAATATGAGAAAAGCAAATGAAATGAATGATTTTGTTGATGATGATGATGATGATTATAATGAAGATGATGATATTGAAATTAGTGAACCATTAACAACATCTACGAAATCAACAACAACAACAACAACATTGGAAATAAAGTACGATACTGTTAAGTCTTCATCATCTTATTTTACATTTAAGTTTATTAATTTATTATTATTATTAGTATTGTTAATTGAAACAAATATATGACAATAAAATTCATGTGTTATCTGACTACAAAACAAAAATCAGATGTACATTAATTAATTATAATAAACAGCTACTCTTTGATTTTGAACGTTCTTGGAGATATTTCCAAATAACCTAAAAATAAAAATCAGTTGTTTTTTTTTCGAAGATGATTCATTGAAATTTGACGTACATTACAGAATTGTTTTAGAATAATTTTTTCTGATGTATCTTCTCCAGTCATATCTCCAATAGATTCATAAATTTCAGCAGTCTTTAAATATAAAAAAAAAGATTATTATGATTAAGAAAATTGTAAATTGTTTTACTTTAATAGCATCAAACATATTTTGCAGTGAGATTTGCCGTTGAAGTGCATCGTCTGCAGGTATATTAAGTAAAGATTCTTGTTTCTCAATAGATGTTTGTGTAGAAACATTTTGTTGAGATTGTTTCTAAAATTTTTTTTGAAAATATTAAAAAAAACAGGAATGTTTTGGTTTTTTAATTACATGTGCTAATTGAGTATTATTATTTATTGTTGTTAACATTAATTGATCAACGAGAGATTGAAGAGATTCATTTTCTTTTAATAATGATGTTTGTCGTTGTTCGAGGTCATTTAATTTTTCTTGATAGTCAACTATGTGAGATGAAAGTTTATTTATTGTACTCGTACCATAATGTTTCCATTGTTCAGCTAATTGACGCATTTTATACCTTTCTTCATCGAGTAAATCACATAATTCTTTGAAATCATCATTAGTTGATAATAATGGAGGATATTGTTCCCCTATCATCTCTTCTTGTTCATCGGCTATTGACTATAAAAATTTGGCAATGAAAGAAAAAAACAAAATCAACAAATATACAAAATACCTCTTGTGACATTTTTTTTCAATAGCTTAATCTTATCTGAAATAATATAAGATCATCTTTTATTTTCTTTAAAAGCAATGACAAACATATACATTTATATAAATATATACATACATACATACATACATACACAAAGCAATCAGACTAAAAATAAGATAAGATGTACACATCAAAAGAGAGAGAAAAAACAAAAGGTAACATAATTTTAATTTGAACAAGTGCGATGATGATGATGTTCAGGATAATATCTATGACGTTGATAAATCATTGGACTATTACTTGCACTATTTGTACTACTTGTTGATACATCACCACCACTTGATATTTCACCTAAACTATGTCGTGGAGCATTATCAGATGGATAATTATTATAATGTGGATGATGATGATGATGGTGATTATGATGATGATGATGTGATTCATGATTATCAAATGTTTGACAACCATCAAGAAATTGTTGAGGAAAAACAAGTGAACACCATTTACTAGCTAATGTTGATGGATGAGGTAATTGAACACTACGTTCAAACGTACGTTTTTCAATATCAAAATAAGATGATTTAAGAATATATGATTCACTTGATGGACCTATAATAATAAAGAAAAAAAAAAGAATTTAATCGAAATGTTTTGATTAAATTAAAACTTACCATCATGTTCTTCAAGTAAATAATGTATTTTATCTCCCATTATAGATGAACTTGATATACATTGATATGAATGTGATACAGGTATAGTTGCAATTTCTGTCCATTGATTTGTTATTAAATCATACATTTCAATACAAGGTGCTAAACGATATTTATCATCTTCTCCACCAAATAAAATTAAACGTTTATTTTGATAAAATACAGTTGGATTAAATCGAACAGTTAATGGTGCTGCAGAAATTGTTACATGACCAGATTCTAAATCAACCATATAAGAATTTTCTGATAAACGATGATTAAGTCCTAGAAATATTTTTAATTAAAAAATTTTCAAAAAATACAAATCATTTAATTTAAATTTTTCTTTTTACCATCAGTATGTTTTCCACCAATAACAAAAGCAAAATTTTCAGCAACACATGCACCTGGCCATTTAAGTATTGGTAAATCTGTACATGCTAATGTTCTCCATTGATCTTTTTCAATATTATATACTTCAATTGCTGTTGAACATGGATGTGTAGCATAAAAGTTTCCTTTATCACCATAAACTCTAAAAGATATTGATGAAATAATATAAACAAAAAAAAAATAAAATGAAAATTAATCATATACTTACCCACCAACAGCAACTAAACATTCATTTGAACTAAATAAACAAAAAAAATATATATATCCTGTAAAATTTTAAATGTAAGATAGAAAAATTGTTCAAATTAAAAACAAAAATTCTATGTTAATTCATCTTTAGAATATTAATTTTTTTTTTACTTCATTGAATTTATATATCAATGGAACGGAACTTTCCACTTGCGAAACTGAAAATACCTTTGACACTACTTCGATTTCCATCTCTAAATACATCCCAGATATATATACATACTTTAATAAGACAAGTTTTAAGTCAGAACTAGAGATGTGCAGGAACAAAATTTTGAAGTTTGCTGGAACAGAGATCGGGGCCGGAACCAAATCTTTTTTTTTGGTCCCGTGCATCTTTGGTCGAAACATACTTCAATAACCGAAAGGATCATTATCACTCGACTAGATCTCTTTTGCTATGTATTATATTTCCTCAATGTAAATATGGCTGCAAAATGACTGTCTAATGTCAGATTGAGTAACTATTATCCGATTCAAAATAAAAGGCAGGTTACCATTTGTCGAATAACTATTGACAGGAATGAGAGAGAGAGCTGCGATTTTTACCATTCGAAAGAGCGATCTCCTGACCAACGATTGGTATAGAACATATTAAGACGAAAGATACTTTTGTTTATAGGTACCTTTGAATCAACACTTTTTCCGTTGAGTATTTCCATCAATTTTCACAATAATCTGAACTGAAATAATGTCAAAATGTAGCTCAAATCATCCTTTTTTGTTATTAAATTAACGTTTGTTTTTTTTAAAATCCGCTTAGAATAAGAGATTGAGAGATAATGAAATATGTGATAATCTTATAGCGAAGAAAGGATGATATGAGCTATATTTTGATATAATTTGAGTTGAGACTATTGTGAAAACTGATGAAAATACTCAAAGGAAAGTGTTGATTCAAAAATACCTATAAAAAAAGCATCTTTCGTCTTAATGAGTTCTATACCAACCGTTGGCCCGAACATCACTCCTTCGAATTGTGAAAATCGCAGCTCTCTATCTCGTTCCTATCAGAAGTTATTCGACAAATGGTAACCTGTTTTTTATCTTAGACCGGATAATAGTTTATATCATCAAGTAAATAAATGAGAAACTTCAATTTATATTCTTTAACACTTAAATGCAGCAATAAAAATTTCCTAAAGAAAGAACTTTATTTTATGTCTTATTTTTGTTTTTCAACTTCTGTATTAACTCACCCAGCTAATGAAAAAAATTGTCTTTTTTCACAAAGTCTTGCAATTTCAGACCATAAACCTGTTCTTGGATCAAATCGATAACATGCATTTGTTGTTTCTCGATTATTTTCTGAATAACCTCCACATGCATAAAGAAAATTATTAACGACAGCAAATTTTTGTGATAATGTTCTCCATGTTGCTAATGAATTACACATATATTCCCAAACATCATCATGTTTATTTAATATATACATTGATTCATTAACACAAACAAGACTTGCTTCATTACGTATTTTACTTCGTGATGATGTCGAACAATATTGACGATTTGGTAATGAAAAATATGAATATGCTTCAAATGCATAACGTATACAATTAGGATCTGTTTTCATAAAACAATGTGACATAACTAAATCATTAAATTCTTCAGGTTTCATTGTTTGAAAACGAACATGTTCCATTAATGAACTTGCATAAATCATACGATTTTCTCCGTCAGATTTTAACCATTCAACACACATATCAAAAACTTTTATTTCGGGATAAAGACGAAATTCATTTGAACGTATTAAATAAAGTATTTGTTCATATGTTAAACGTTTAAAACCTTCATTAAGTGCAACTTTAGGAAAATTACGTAAAACAAATTTATTTATCTAAAAATTAAATAAATTTATTAAAAATTTAAATTTAAAAATCAAACTAAAACAAACCTTTTCTAATACAGGAATAGAAAATAAATCAGCAAGACTAAGAACATCAATACAATTATCAACAGTTGTTTCTTCAATTAAAAAATCTTCACAAAGTTTTATTGCATGATGTACTTGTAAATGTGTTACTGCACGAAGTACTTCAGCTAAATATATAATCAAATATTTATTAATTAAATCATAATATCATTCAAATTCAATCAATAAATATCTATTCTGAAGTTTGTTGTTATACAAAACTTTAAAGTATAACATTTCAAAGACGTTATTGAAAACTATGAAGACATTCTTGAGTTAATTTATTTCTTTTACATTAGAAAATTTTCATGAGGGAACAGCAAAAACTTCGACAAACTTTATAAGATTTCTAGACTCGAACTTCTACTGTTTTTCCCTAGGAAACAATATTTTATCAGTTATTCAGCTAAATTCTTTTGTATATATCTAGGACATATTCATTCAAATAGAGTTCAACTAGTATCATTTATATATTATCCTTATCAATTTAGACATGACTAATAGAAAGGTAATCGAGTGTATTACGAACTTTGCTTCATCATGTATAAATATTGTTGATAATGCAAAAGGTGTTCAAGTATATATGAGTTATGACTTTATGGTCGAATTGTAATGAGATCACATTGGTTCGTGGAAATATTATTATAATATGCCGTTTTTCTCTGATAAAACATGTCGAAAGTCAATTTGAGTATTCTATGAAACAGTTTTATTTTCTTCTATTTATCTAGACTGTTTTATTATTTTAATTGAAATATATTTGATAAACTTTTCAATTTCTCAGAGTGATCATTCCGATCGTTAGAAACAGCATCTTAAACGATCCGATTTTTTGCTAGCAAGTAGTCATCGTTTTATGAGCTTAAGAAAAATAGCGATGTAAAGATGCCAATTTTCGCCTTAGTTATTTCATTGAAGTTTCTTTAGAGGTCAGATATACGTTCGGACCGTTGCTCGAAGAGACATCTTATGTTTGTGTGTAAAAACTAAAGATTTGGAGTTTAGCTATCGGACACATTGTTCTTTTTTTCGTGCTATACAAAGAACCATCACATATTCATCTTTGAGAAACCTAACAAATATAAATGATTGTAGCAAGATATTTCTTTTTGAAGTCATTTCTATTAATCGGTTGAAAATGATCCAACAAATCGGTCTGTAAATTCTCAATTGGTTACAAACTTCGTTTTATAGTACATGTTTTCATAATGTTCTGATTTGATTATCCTGTAATCTGACAATGGTAATTTACACATACTTATTTTAAACAAAATTTAATCATATTGAGAGATTTTACAAGTTCGACTAATCTTTTATTTCTCAAAATCAAATATTCTTGAATTTAATATCACATTTTAAACACTTTTATATTGATTTTTACTTTCAATTCATTGAACATACCTATATTCTCAATACTTAATGATAATTCACCGGTATAAATAAAATCAAGTACAGCTCGTAATCCATTTGCTGTAATATCTTTTAATTCAATAGTATCTATTGAAAACAAAAAAATAATAATTTCTATTAATGTCAGAAAAAAAAACATTTTGTTTTTTACCAGCTGTTGCTTCTTGCATTCCACTTCGACTTATCATAGCTTCAAAATAATCCGAACTAGCAACAAGTACACATCTAGAAAAATCGAATTATACAATTTGTTTTATCCGTTTGATGGGTTTTTTTTGTTGTTGTTCTTACTTATGTACATTAAATTTTTCATTTTCAGCACAGAGAACAAGATCACAAAATTCTCTTGAATTACGTTGTTCACGTAAACGTTCAAGTAC